CACTCAGAACCTCAGTTTCCTTATCTATAAAATGAGAGGGTTGGACTAGGTGATGTCTAAGGGCCTTTCCATTTGTAAATCCTCTCTGGTTCTTTGATTACCAGAACCGTCTACCCCTGGAAAAACAAACAGATAGTGTTGCACATTACTTTGGGAAAGTACTAATTTAAGTAATTAAGCCTAAAGATTAAATTAATTGACTAGCAAGCGATTGATTTTCCTAGTTGGTTAAAGGAGGAAGAGGGACTTTCTAAGGTGGTAGAAAGAATCACACTTCGGCAGAATTGTTAAGATGCAACCACAGATCTTTGGCAGAGACCAAGCAAAAAAGGGATGAGAAAACCAGGTCATTCTAATTTGCAGGAAAATGCAGTAGAGTCATCATTTGTAGCTCCATGGAGATTCTATTGTAAAGCCTTTACTGCCTGTAAATGGTTCCTGTGTCAGAGGTGGGGGTGGAGTAGAGGGGAGCAGTGTTGGGGAAATAATAGTTGAAAGTTGGGGTTGGAAGTCAGTTGCATGTAGTCTGACTTAGCTGGAGAGGGACAAAGAATCAACATGGAATTGCTCACCGACCTGGAAGCTACCAATGGCCTAGCGGAAAATGGAAAATGCATTTGTTTTTGCCCTCATTTTATAGAGTGAAATCTGCACGTTGTGGTGGATTAGAAAGAGGAGAAGCCTCTATTGATTTGTTGGAGAGAAAACTGAATGAATGAGCCCTGAGGCAGAAAGTCTGGTGTGGGTTTCATGCAAATAAGAGCAGTGATTGGCTTCTTGTTCTTCCCCCCACAAGTTGTAACTGGCTGCTCTCAGCCTTGAGGATTAGGTTTCAGAATAAGCTTTTCAGGTTCAAGGATTGTTAATGGTTTGTAACCACTAGGATAGTCAGCCCAGCCTCCAAGTTACTTCGCTCTGGCAGATGTCTACATTCGTGGAGACAGGAGGGGAAGAACGTTAGGAACAGAAGTTGAGGCAAAATCAGACTGCATCGTGACTTGGTGCTCGCTGCTGCTTCTTCTGACTTTTTTTTTTTGTCTTCTGACTTCTTATGGGATAAAAAGTACTGCAGAACTTCATGTAGGCACCTTGGAAATGGTCATATTCATTAACACAAAGATCAAGTCTTTAATTAAACTTTTTAAGAAGAAGAGTAAGTAGTTCTTTTGTCCTTCTTTCCTCCTACTCCTCTTTATAGAGCCCTCCCCTACACCCCGTACTGTGTGTGTCTTACTCACTTTCTCACCCTTTGAGTGATGAAATGGAAAGAAATGGTGGAAATGCATAATTACCCTGAGGTTAAATGACTGTCTGTACAAACTGGTTTTTATTTCACACAAGGGTATTGAAAGAATCAATGAAATAATGTTTGTGGGAGCACTATTTAACTATGTTACTTGCAAGTAAGCTTTTGTTATAGTTCAAACTTTTATGATTTAATACAGGGATAGCATTTTGTTTTTTAGCCTCCTGTTTTAAAAATGGGAGTCAAGTTATGCAACTTTCTTTCTTCCTCTATAAAGTCATTGAAAGAGGAAAAGAAAAGTATTTGTTTGCTTTGTATTATCCTTCATGTATAGTTAGGGGATGTGTTTATGTATATGTGTTTTAAATGGTAATGTGGTAGGGAAGTCCTTGAACGATTTTTCCCATATTTAAGGTGGGGATAATCCTGTAAAGTTTCCTCAGGAGGTCCCAGCTGTGTACTTGTTTAAACATAGAAGGACGTTGCTACCTACCAAATTCTTTTTATATATATTGAAGAGGGATCATTTTAAAGTCAAGAACCAGAGCAGTATAGTTTTGTTGAAATATCACTAATGGAAAATTTTCCATTTGGCACATGTTTATTACTTGGAAATACAAGTAAATATTTAAATGATTTTCTTATACTTTGGTTACTTCTTTCTTCCTCTTCTTTCATGGTGTCAGTTGTTTATTCAGCTTAATAATAAATTTTTATGTACTGTTGTGGTAGCAACAAAGAACAGCACCTGAGGCTGTTTTTCATGTATAATGTTTACTCAACTGTTCTTAATGATTAGAATCTACATTGAAAGGGGAGGGGCAGATAGTAATGTTCAAGGTAGGGAGCCAACTGATAAATGTTTTCCTTTTTTACTTTTTGTAGGAATATAGAGTATAAAGAGGTAGAGATCTGAATATTATTACTTGGATTTGATCAGCTGTGGTAAATACATACCCTGCATCATTAAACATTTTCTTATAGAGGAAGTAAAGTAATTTGTTATGATAAACTCAGTGTTATAATAAACTCAGTGGTGTTTAGTAACACCATCACCAATGGCCATTAGTGGTGATAGTAGTAGTAGTTGTTGTTGTTGTAGTAGTAATAGTAGTAGCAGTAATAATAATAGTTATAATAATAGTAGAGTTAAGATTTTAGATTTAATATTTACAAAGCACTTTGCATATGTTGCCCTGTAATTTGGAGGTTGGCTCTATGGACTAAATTGGGTACTTAATACAAAAGTCAAAGAAAAGGTCCTGATTAGTCTTAGACATGTTTATTGATGTGAGTACATAACCTAATCAACAAGGGATTAGGTCAGAAAAAAGAAGGCAGCAGCTAAGGGTATCTTTAAGAGGGCTGAATTTGGAGTCATACTACTACTAGCTGAGTTCAAGTCTAGCTCTGCTATTCAAGTGACTGGGGCTTAACTTTTCTGGACCTCGGTATTCTCATCTTTCTGAGGGCAGTGACTAATTTATCTTCTCTCTCTCTCTCTCTCTCTCTCTCTCTCTCTCCTTCCTTCCTTCCCTCTCTTTCCTTTTCTATCCCCAAACCTTGACACATAAAAATGTTTGGTTGACTAATCTGTAAAATTAGAGGTTTGAATCAGATAATTCAAAGTCCCTTCTGGCTATATGATCCCATATAAATGTTTACTTTAGTACAAAGGTTTAGTTTTTCTTTGTATGGGTTTATGGGGAAGGTAAGATACACTGACATATCTTTATATGTATGATACCTATTTATATCATGTGTATATTTGTTTTTTTCCCTCCCCATCCCTTTAGAACATTAGCTCCTCAAAGGCAAGGACTGTTTACTTCTATCTTTGTATCCCCAGCCCCTGGCACGTAAAGGTGCTTAATAAATGCTTGTAATTTCATTAATGGATTAAGATCAGGTCAGAAGGGTTATGGCACAGTATGATAAAGGAGGAAAAGAGGGTTCAGATTGCTGAGTGGGAGTTTAGTAGCATAGAAGCAGCCGTAGCATAGAGTAAAGAGCCTTGGATCTGGAGTATCCGATACTAACTGTGCTCCCAACTGGTCTTCCCTCTCTGCTGTCAGAACCACAGGCCATTACCATGCTTGGAACTATTCCTCTCCTCACTTTTCCCTCTTAGAATCCTTTGGACCTCAGCTTTGGTGCCACTTCCTGATCTTTCTTAAAATTCCTTTTCTTTGTGTGTGCTCTTTGCCTCCTCAAATTATGAGGAGGCAAATTATAATAATTCTATTTAATTATGCAGATCTCTTGAGGGCATGGACTATTTATTCTTTTGCCTTGTATCCCCCGACACCCACATTGTGCCTTGCCTGTAAGAGGTGCTTACTGAATTGAATTGTCAGAGAAGGGGGGATTCAAATTTTGCCTCTATTAAGTCCTTGAGCAATTTTTAAACCTTAAGGAAGTATAGAAATGTGAGCTAAATGCCCAGTGGCTCACCACCAGGGTGATGAATTTTTCAGTCAAGGGATCCAAGAGATCCAAGAAGTTCCAGTCCAGCATCCATGGAGGGAGTACTTACACTGATGAAATCATTCCCCCTTGAAGTATTGAGATTATAACAACTATAGTCCACTTCTTGACTCACTGGCCTGTTCTTTTCGGCTTTCTGCCAATGACTTGCGCTTGTTCAGTCTGTTTTATGATCTCCTAAAGCTGCAAAAATTAGACCTGTAAAAACTATATTTAGTGGTATGTAGTCAGAGTGGGTAGGACTCAGCTTCTTGGCCTACACAGTTCTGGGCTCTACTGTTCTTTCATCTCTATTAGAGTATTCCTCTAACTAAGTTTCTCCAAAACAGAGACTTCATTTTATACTAGTATCCATTCAGTACCACCTCCTGAGCTTCTCTCCCTCCCATCCCTGTCAGGTCAGTGGTTGGCAAGTAATAAGCGCTTGCTAGTTGGATATTTGTTGTACCTCATGTTGCCTTCCATCTCAATTTAGGTTATATGGGGAGAGGCTACAAGACCTGGGTGGAGGAATCCTTGGCAGTAAAGAGTGAAAGGGTTAAAATGCTTCCCTTTTGAAGTGAAGAACCATATGTCAGAATGTTCTAAGAGCCTTCATAAGTCATGTATATATTAGACTAGGTAACTAGTGAAATTTTGCATGATAAATTACCTAGTGTTCACTTGTGATCTTTGCAAATAACTAAAATGCATGAAAATGAAGAATTCCATTAATGATTTCTAAAAAAAAAATCTCAGGAGTGTTCTTTAAGGCTATTAAATGGCATTTTCTTACTTTGTTCAAGCAAAATGTGACAGTTTTTATAATTACAATGCTTTTAAGGATTATTTTGGAAAAGAACACTTTACCTCTTTTCCAACCTTACTTAGTGTTTGTTTTCCTACATGGAGCATCAAAAACTTCATGATAAAATGGTCATATAATGCTACAGTATAGTTATTAGACTAGGAGATGGGTACAAGCACCTTCAACCTGTTTGATCAGCCATTTTATAATTTTTTCATGGAAAAGGAATATTGGATTCTGGGAGAAAAATCAGCTGAAAAGTATAATTATGTCATTGGTATAATGGATGATGGATAAAATTTATGTTTTTTTCCTTGCAACCTATTAATAATACTGCAATGTTTATAAGATTAAATGTCAAAATTTGGTCCTGCATAGTACCTTGTTATTTTTCTAATTCAAGCTACCTTTCCCTATCTTGATCTAGCTGTCATGGAACAAGCATTGTTTCACTCAAGGTTGTATTTTTTCTCTTTACAGCTGTCTCCAATTTAGATGAGGAGAGTAGATGGACGGTTCATTACACAGCACCATGGCACCAGCAGGAAAATGTCTTTCTACCTACCACGAGGCCACCATGTGTGGAAGACTTGCATCGGCAAGCCAAGTTGAACCTCAAATCAGTACTGAGAGGTAAGACATTTGACATTAGTAAGGTTTTTTTTTTTTTGCTTACTTATTGAATGGTATGATAATAGTCTTGGTTATTTTCTATACAGTAATTTGAATTTTGTAAGAGGAAGATCTGTTAGTTAAGTACTTGAAATACACACAGGTCAATCCAGACCTTAAAGAGAGGGATTCCTAGCCTTTTTTGTATGGTAGAACTCTTTGACAGTCTGGTGAAGCCCATGGATCACTTCTCAGAATGTTTTTTGAACACATAAAATAAAACACTTATGATTATAAAGAAAATCAATTATTGAAATAAAGATGTAATTTTTTCTGACCCCCTGAAATCTGTCCATGGATCCCTTGAAAGTCTGTGGATCCCAGGTCAAGAACTCTTACTCTATAGATTTTTTTTTTCACTTAAAGGTACTTTGATATACATGTCCTATAAAAGATCCATATCATACGATAAGACATATTTAAAAATTGGTTGTGTTCTTAGTTCTGTCATCAAAAATGAGCCTTGCTGAAGTTGAGAGGACCATTTAGGGCCCTTTAAACCTGTTAAGTTCATTTGCTCTAACTTGATTAAACAAATTACAACATAGTGGTTACTAGTTTCAGTGCCTTTTAAAAAGACCCTGAAAAAAACAGCCTTGTAGGGTTTTCAGATCTTAAGTTCTCAAAACCTGAATGTCTCAGCAATAGTGTCTAATGTTTTATTATGTTTGATCCAAGTTCTAGTGGGAACTTGGATATTTGTACCTGTTTCTAAGCCCTCTTTCAAAGGTTCTGTATGCTTTGGTTAGTACTGAATCACTGTCAGTGATTCCCCAAAACTTGCATGGGTCCTAGTTGATCTTTCACAAATAAGTAAGCAAATCTTTTGGCAAATGGGAAAATATCCATATACGATTTATAGTTATTATATACCCAGTGTTACTTATTACTTTTTTGGGGGGAGGGGGCTAGGCAATGGAGTTAAGTGACTTGCCCAGGGTCACACAGCTAGTAAGTGTTAAGTGTTTGAGGCCAGATTTGAACTCAGGTCCTCCTGAATCCAGGGCTGGTGCTCTATCCACTGTTCCACCTAGCTGCCGCTACTTGTTACTTTTATTCCTAATTTTAAATTATTTAAAGAACTTTAAAAATGAACATGAAAAGGATGTATATGAGAGGATAGGCTTATGAGATTAGAAGCTGTTCCTAGTATATCAGAGCTCTTCTTTCGTTCTTTCCTTCTCTCCTTCCTTCCTTTCTTCCTCCTCTTTCCTTTCCTTTCCTTTCTTTCTTTCAACCAGTGGTTTCCTTAAAATCTACTTGATCACCTGATCTTTTATACAAATCTTATAGTCAACAAGCCACTTCATATTTTCTTTTATTATCATTTGGCAGGAAAACGTTCACACATATATAATAGATTGTTCTGTCATTAACATGCTTGAAAATTCAAAGATCCTCAATATTTCATGTATAGTTACCCTGAATTCTTCTTTTTTTAAAAATTATCTTCAGGCTCATATTTTCCTTTCCAAACAGATTAATCAAATTCTCACGGTGCTTCTTCACTGGTGAGATTTTTCATTTTCCTTGCAATGAATGAATGAATGAGTAGATGGATGGATGAATGAGAGTACCTTTTATAATATATGCCAAGCACTGGGGTAAACACTGGGGTTACAAATACAAAAGCAAGGACAGTACCTGAACTAAATTATATTCTAATGGGAGAAACAACACCCATTGGGCAGTGGTGGATAGAGAAGGAACCCTCTGGCATGGGGTGGGGTGGGTGGGATGTGATTAGTAACACTTGAATTTCCCCACTCTATTTCCAACATTGTATTTCTTTCTCAATTTGTTTTCTTTCTGGCTATTCTAACTTTGAAAAAAATTCTGGGTGTAGTTTTACCGTGTAAACAGCCCTTGTAAAGCCTTTCATACGTACCGGTTTTGTGGCATTTTCTCAGGTTTAACAAAGATTTCTTAAATGTCTTTTCAAATTTTATTTTGTTTTTGTTAAAAATGAAGTTTTTAACTTAAAATAAAGTTTATGCACTTACATACATGTCTATATAACTCTATCTCTATATATGTATGTATGCAGAACTACAAGAAGAATAAAAAGATATTTTCGTCCCATCCAAGAACTTACAGTCTAGCAGGCAACATAAATCATGTACACAAATAAGGATTTTTTTAAAGATAAAATGTGTTAAGTGCTTTGAAAGGCACATTTAAACAATTCAATTCAGCAAGCACTAAATGCCCTGGAGCACTAAACTGGTAAGTGTTAGCAGAATTCAGAGGGAGGGAGAGTGTGCTTATGCCAGGAGTGAAGGTTTATCTTGTCACAAATACTTCTGATGGAATTAAAAGAAGATTCAGCTCTCCCAACAGAAGTGTGCCAAACAGTTGCCTTGATTTGACTGATCAGCCTTCAGTTTTGTTTGGCATACTTTGGGAAATTATTCTTTGCTGTCTCACCTTCAATTTTGTATAGGTTTAAACTTTGTAAAGTTTAAAATGTCAAATTACCTTAATCAGTCTTTGCTGTAGATTTAAACATAGGACTATTGGGAAAGAAATACTCTGTTATCCGTCTCTTTTTAAAATTTCTGAGTATCTTGTAAATTAATAGGCTACAACTTTATGTAAAAATTGATTTGATTTGACTTCCGGATGTTGCTTTACCGCTGCCCTTATTGCATTTATGCTCTGTCCTGTCACATTGGGTTTTTTTTGGTTGTTGTTTAGTCATTTTTCAGTCTTGTCCAACTCTTTGTGACTCCATTTGGAGTTTTCTTGGCAAAAGATACTGGAGTGGTTTGCTATTTCCTTCTCCAGCTCATTTGACAGATGAGGAAGCTGAGGCAGACAGAGTTAAATGACTTGCCTAGGGTCACACAGCTTGTAAGTGTCTGAGGCCAGATTTGAATTTAGGAAGATGAGTCTTCCTGACTCCAGGCTCAGCATTCTATCCAATGTACCACCCAGCTTCCCTCTCATTGTTTACCTAAATCTATTTGGTAAAACTACCTTTAGTTCTTAGTAACTCAGTAAATGTCATTAACAGGTACTCCTGAATTATTTCTCTCTTTTTCCACCTACTTTTTAATAATATGAAATGACTTCATTTCCAGGACAAAAGTCTGAGGCCTTGCAATTATTCATATTCTGTGGAATTTGAATGATAAAAGCATCTCTAAGTTTTACTTAATAGAAGGAGCTACCTTAGTGACATCTTTATAATGTGATTTTCTAAATGCAGCAATTTGGATAATTGAAATTGAATTCAAACTCAATTTCCCTAATCAGTTTTCTGATGAGACTTCAGGAAAATCTGTATTATACAAGGTGTCCCAAAGTCTGAGTGCAGTTTTAAGCTTTTTTTTAAGTTTTAGTAGTTTTCAATTGCTTAAAACTGCGCTAAGACTTTTGGAACACCCGGTATATTGAATAGATTTTCCAAAGTCCTGGTCTGCAGGCTTTTTCTACCCTTTTACCATATTGAGTACCTTTATTCAGACCTCATGATTTCATTTTCAAATTACCATTTCAGTATACCAGTGCTAAACAGTTCTGTTGCTGGTTTTGCCTAGACTTGCATTTTTACTTTGAAAAGGCAAATGCTTCAATAATTGCTTTAGTGCCTTAAGCCATTCACTCATAGAGAACCCTAAAAGCAAATATACATCAAGGGAAAAATATTTTTATTAGAAGTTTTGGGGAAAACTTGCTCAAGGTCCATTTTAAAATTTGATTTTAAATACTACTTAAGATGTTTTAAATACAATAGCTTTATGATTTTAAAGCAAGTACTTGATTGAACTAGTGGTTAAATTGGGGAGGACTGCAAGATATATATTCATATTCTCCTTCTTTCTTTTTCTCTTTTTTTCTCTCTCTCCTAATTCCCCCTCTTTTCTTCTCTTCCCCCTTCCTCCCTGTTTGTTCACTTATTTTCCTCCTCTATAAAACTTGGTTTAATACTTCAATAGTTCAGTTATTAATCATCCACTATGTAGGGCACTGTGTTGGGTATTGAGATTTGAAATATAAATGTGAAATATGATAGAACCCTTGTGGAGTTTACTACAGTTTACTAGCAACTCTAATGTAGAATTTTTGGAATAGAACATAAAAAGATAATGATATTTAAGGTCTAATGAAGAAAAGATAATTTCCAATGGGATGGGAGGAAGGATCAGACAATACTTCATGATGGAGATGGTATTTGAGTTATGTCTCCAAGGATGTAATGAAGATTTTAACGCAGAGAGATGGAGCAAACAAGGATATTTGAAATATGGGAACCAGCATATGCTATCATCTAAAAAGGTTTCATTGAAGATACGAGTTTTTTTGTAGACACTTGATATTTGCTTTATTTGATTTTTGAAGTGTAACTTTCCTATAGCACTTAGGACATTTTGACTTGTTTATTATAGCTACTTATGTATATCTTTTCTTCCTTCTTGGGTTGTAGGGAGATGCAGGCGGGAAAACTGAAGGTAGTTTGTTTGTGTAAAAAGCAGAGTACCTGATGGGATATCATTCAGTAAAGCTAGAAAGAGAGAATAGTGCCAAGTGGTAGAAGGTCTTAGGGATGGCAGCATGGCAGAGTGATAAACGGGCTGGATTGAAAGTTAGAGGACCTAGGATTGAGCCTTGCCTCTTCCTACTTGTATGACCTGGGACAGGTCATCTAGCTTCCTTGTATGTTAAGATTATGTGGAGATTGGATTATAAGAGCTGTGATCTCTTCCATATCTATGTCTATGAAACTATGAATTTGATTCTCATTACAGTTACTCAGAAAGTATTTTTGTACCCTGAATTGAAGAACAGAGTATAAGTATATTCTTTTTTATTACCTCATAATGAAGGATTACGTATTAAAAACACAGTTACTGAATGTGTATCCCTATTACCTATATACTGGCTATCCTAAGTTAACTAGAGTTAAATTTTTTTTCCTTTTAAAAATACAGACAGGAAAATGTAAGCTAGCCAAACAG